GACTCTGTGGTGGTAAGTTCTTCCTCCTACCAGGTGACTCTGTGGTGGTAAGTTTGTCCTCCTACCAGGTGACTCTGTGGTGGTAAGTTCTTCTTCCTACTGGCTGGCTCTGTGGTAGTAAGTTCTTCTTCCTACCCAGTGGCTCTGTGGTAGTAAGTTTGTCTTCCTACCAGGTGACTCTGTGGTGGTAAGTTCTTCTTCCTACTGGCTGGCTCTGTGGTAGTAAGTTCTTCTTCCTACCCAGTGGCTCTGTGGTAGTAAGTTTGTCTTCCTACCAGGTGACTCTGTGGTGGTAAGTTCTTCTTCCTACCAGCTGGTTCTGTGGTGGTAAGTTCTTCCTCCTACCAGGTGACTCTGTGGTGGTAAGTTCTTCCATTCTGTACAGACTCACCTTGTACTAAACCATATCAAATGTCTAGCTCTTTGAAATTAGAACAATTTTTATTGAAAAACAAAAACTAATTCCTACTTCTTTGGAGAGTGACAGTATTATGGATTTTTCTTTATTATAAATGATTTCATTACATTAATAATCTAAAATTCTGGTTTACTTTTAGTAATTATTGAGTAAAAAGTTTTTATTTCCTTTGCTGTCCGTTAATGTACATTATTTTTAAAATCAAGTACAGTGCTATTAAATACCATGACATTATATATATATATATATTACCTTTTTTCCTGCAGGACCAACAGCTCCGGGTAAACCCTGGAGACCTTGCTCTCCCTATCAAAATGACATTTGTACTGAAATTAGTTGGTTTTTAAAGTCATTAATTCCATTTTATTATAAAGTATCTAGGTGTTAATTATATTATATTGTCATGTGAAGATAAGTTTAATAGAATGAATTATAATAAAATTATGGTTGAATTAATTAATCTATAGATAAAACAGAAAGATTAGAATTTGGTATGCATTGCTTCTAAAGTTTAGTTGAAATAATACTGTTACCTCAGGTCCTGGAGGTCCAGGTTCTCCTTTTGGTCCAATACGCCCTTCTACCTGAAGAGAATGGAAGAACAGATCAGTTAACTTCACTTGTCAAAGAATTCATGGTTATATATCTTAAAAACATTGAAGTTACTAATGTACAAACTGATAATATCAGCCACATCATGCCTCTGTTATTCAATATTTTAGTCATTTACCGTAAACCTTAAAAACTTGTTGAGAACAAAATGTAGATGGAAATTTCAGTTTAATAATGGTTAGTTTTGATGATCACATAGTAAGTCATCCATAAGTTTAAAGCATAAAAGTACACCTAATGATTTACAGAAGATACAATTTATTCATTAAATTAATGTATACCAATTTGTTTCTTATTGAAACACTCAAATGCTAAGGTGGTTTCATTGAATTCAAGGAAGCACTCATCACCTGGTTTCAGGAAGAAATTACCACCACTGAGCCACTGGGTAGGAAATGTTACAACTTACTAATGGAGAGTTTATATAGAACAATGCATGGTTTACTACAGGTTGAACCTACACAGAACATGGTATGGTTCAGTACAAGGTGAGTCTGTACAGAATATGTTACAACTTACTAATGGAGAGTTTATATAGAACAATGCATGGTTTACTACAGGTTGAACCTATACAGAACATGGTATGGTTTAGTACAAGGTTGATCCTCATAGAGTGTTTACTTACAACAGGACAGGTCTTTAGATAGCTTCATTCACTGTAGATTTACTTACCTAAAAAATAAAACAGATATCCTAGTCCTTATCAAAGGACTGTGCAAGAGAAAATTTTAAAGCATGCCTTTTTCTTTTAGGGTGAGCCAGGAGAATCTGGGGAACAAGGACGACCTGGTGAACGAGGTCCTTCTGTAAGTGTATCTTAGATCGTTTGGAAATATAACTATATGATTTTAGTTTCTCATATTGTGCATGTTTAATCATTTTTCTATAAAGAAATTAGCAATAACATATACTTGAAGAAAATCTGTGCTTATGAAATTACTGTTGTATTTTCAAAGAAAGACATAGTGAAAGTTTAATGAAAGTGTTTAGTTGTGGGTTTTTAATGACAAGTAGTTGTTTCTTGAAGTAATTTATTTGGAAATCATATGCTTCACTCGGTTCACAACATATGGGATTTATAATTATCACAGTGTACCAATATATAAGCAAATAGAAGGATAAAATATCAGGTTCACAGCAAATTGAATTCATAATATAGTTAGTGAAGTATAGCAATATATAAGCCTCTTAAGAAGAAACTGTCACCCATTCAAGCCAGCCAAAACAGTGCAAAATAGAAAACTTAAAAGTACGTTAATAATTAATAGAGATAAAAGTACCTGTAATAGTAAACGTTGATTAATTGATTGTTTGTAGTTAAGCACAAAGCTACACAATGGACTTTCTGTGCTTTGCCCACCATGGGTATGGAAACCCAGTTTCTAGTGTTGTGAATCCACAGACATACCGCTGTGCCACTGGGGGCAATAGTAAAGGTATACTGTCTAGGTACTTTTGGTACTTATGGTTTAATCTGATTTACTATTACAAGACAGTGTACCGGTACTTTTGGTACTTATGGTTTAATCTGATACCTTTACTATTACACACTGTCTGTCAGATTAAACCATAAGTACCTGTAACAGTAAAGGTACACTGTCTATCAGATTAAACCATATTCGCAAGCCTCACGTGTGAAAAAAGTAATAGAAAAAGTGGTATATATACCATGTGGATGTGGGAATATTTATATCAGAAAAACTAGAAGAAATTTAAAATGCAGTAAGGTATATATATATATAATGCAGTAATATATATATATATATAATGCAGTAAGGTATATATATATATATATTTATAGATCTTAATTCTTGCAAAATATAGCACTCCAGATGATTTTGAAGTAGTAATTTGAATCATGTAGATTGTATGAGTCTGTGAACAGTCTAAAGGTCTTTATCTTTATATAGTAAGTTATTGAACAAATATTTGATTGTATTTTGAGACTGGGGAGAGCCTAAGTTTTAAATATTTATTGTGT